TAGAGACATTTTTGGCTCACACAAGGGCGGATAGTTGCTTAGCTTCCCGATTCGACATGCACGTGAAATTTTGAAGAGAAAATCGGAGTGTTGAATGATTCGTTGACAGAACACTGTGTAAACTCTCGTCACAATGGTAATGCATGATTGGCATTGAAGTCTGTTTTCCGCTGAAAAAAGTTCCTTTTCATATGCTGACCGATTCCGCGCCAAAGAGAAGAACGCCATCCTAGTCGTACAGTCAGCTGACACAGCGAGTAATCGATGAGGGCTCCAGTAGGGATCAGTGATAATTAGTTTCTGTGGTAGAAGAGCGCTCACCGATCAGGTTACGGAGTGCCCCCTCCGTCGGGCCTTGATCTCAGTCTAGATCCCTTTCGGAAAGTCAAGTAGTGACTAGTGTTATATATATATCTAATGTGGTACCGGCAAAGTCAGTGAAGATTTAAATGACCGTTTCATGGCCATGGACCGTCGTCGGCTAGCCCTACCCAGGAGTGGGTTGATTTTGACCGGTGACGGTAAATAAGTCCGAAACCGACCTTTCCATCAACCCTATATTTGTCAGTACCATCTCATCTAGTTGGTTTCTCCCATGCTTTTTCTTCTTCTCCTCACTCGACAGTTGGACCGTCATTGTCGACACTGTCTACTGTGTGCTCCACAGCAAGGTGAGAGCAGGCACGGTGACTTGCGCGTGACTCAGCTTATAGTGAATTTAGACCTGCACTGCATCTACCGTACTCACTCCTCTCCCCCCACCTGCACCCAGTGTCAAGACAGAGTCAAGAAGACTGGGGGCGGGGGAGGACCGGAGGGGGGATGGCACGGTCGAGCTCGCACGTTGACCCTCCATTCTAAATCTCGTGGTCCACGCAACAAATGACCAGGTTTTTGACCAACAACAACAATAGAGGGCGGCGTCTGCCAACAACTGGGTTTGTCACCGCATCCCAAATTGTTGGCATTTGTTATATTGCGCCTGCGAGAATCCCAGTTTGTGCGACGACTGCCGACAAGAGGGTTTGTCAGCGCACCCCCTAATGTTGGCATTTGTTATTGCGCAAAGATAACGTCTGCCAGTATCCCATGGGGTCCCCGTGTTGGTCCAGCGCATCTACTACGTGGCCCGCGTGGGACCAAGCACCCTCCTCACTCATTCACCCACTCTTCTCACAAACATGAATAAATCACTGAATTGGAAGCAGTCTCGTCGTACCTCCCCCCCTCAAACTGATCCTTGATGCTTTTATCTAACAGGCACACTAAAGAAATAACGATCTGAAACTCTATAATGAGATGAAATTTTGCTTCCTGCTCAAGTTTGCTAGGCGGGAAATGCGCATTGGTACAGGCGAAAAACACACTGGACCGTAGCTGCAGCAGACATTCGACGCACCTAGCTTTTCACATCAATGCTCCGCCTGTCCCGCCCCAGACTGAAAGCTCCTGTACTTAGTCAGACAAAAAAGTGAAAAAAATAAGTCCATAATTCGGACGCTTGACATGGTGCGCATCTTTGACAATCGGGACACCTTCTGACGCAAATTTGTTGAAAGTGCGCAGCTCGCGCGTATAGAAGTCGCTGGCCATCTCTTCCGTCACGGAGAGTCGAGACCATGCCGCGTCGGGTTCGTGAATAAAACTAGCTGGCGATTTTGTCAAGATTACTGTGTAACTGAGCCTGCGCAACGGTGTACTGAGCCAACTGTTAAAGCAACGAGGCAGGTTTAGTTCGCAGGTGATTATTGGTCCAACTGATGTAAAGCTAGATATCTGGCAGACTTTAGGTCCGGGGTAGTTTAAACACTTTTTTGCGACAAACTTTGTTCACGGAGAGAGAGAGAATGCGATTGTAAGCGAGTAAAAACACGATTTCAGAGAAAAATTACTCGGCTTTGGCTGACCGCGCAAGCTAAAATCGAGGACTGCATTTTTGTTAAAGTCATAAGCCAACGCGAAAACGTGGTTTTTCAAAAACGTGCCGACAATTTCAGAAGATGAAGTCACCTAACTTGCATCAATAAAGAAGGAAAAACCCACAGCTCAACTGGCCAACCGGCAACCTTTCCTGGCGTTAAGGTAGAAGCCCAACTAACGGATGGAGGGAGAAACGAAAAATAACAGTTCAGTTTGCAAAACGTGTACAAAGTGGAACTAGAGGCAATAAAATAAATTCTGCCGCCGGAAAGTTTTCGAATAACCGCCGCGAAAACAGCTGACATCGCAACAATGTTCTTATGGCCTTGGATGAATTTCCAACCACTCATAGTCTGCCATGACATGAGTTTTATCTACTGAAACACATTTATTCCACGTTCGTCACATTGCGTCATTACGTAGAGACCATTGACAGGTGGTTCGATCGACAAACTCCCTTGTCGCAGCATGGCATCTCAGAATGTTTATCGATTGTCCTGCATGGAAAAGGTGTCTTTAAGGCAGACCCCACTTTTAACAGGACACACGACAATCGGAGTTCTGTCCAGCCTCAATAAATAATTCCGAAAAGGCAGTGACGGATAGCGATTCATTTTAAGGCTTCGAGAACAAAAAAGTGGACGCTACCAACGCTTTGATTATTCCGAGTTAAAGACAGATGCAGCTGCCTGTAGTTTTCTTTTTCCACTAAATTAAACCAAAAACCGATTGTGTGTCATTTTCCCAGGGTCTTTCGGACGTAATCGACAATGCGTTAAGCGCTAGAACAGCAATTCGAAATTAGATGCAGTCCATTTAATTTTGCCGCATGTGGAGAACACCGTGGCAACAGGCTACCTGAAAAGCAGGTTGCGGAGGAAACAGTCTTGTTGTAGAAAAATGAAATTTTTATTTACACTGCGGATAAGTGCATCGATGCAGCTTACCTGGGTAACTGGTCTAGCCAATCACGTTCGGCTGGATGCCTGCTACTTCGTGATTCGATGCAACCAACGCGCTGGCCAATCATCACGCAAAGCAGCGCTAGCCGCTAGAGTGCGAATAGGGAGTGTCTTTTCTGGCTCAGGTTGTCTACCTATTAACGAAAAATCGGGCCGAAAAGAACTCTCTCTCTCTCTCTCTCGGTGAAAGGAGAATAACTGTCTGCGGTAAGGTAAGATGAGCTACCTCAAGACCTACGAACTACCCAAGTCCAATCTCCTTACACCTGATTTTGTCAGTTCCGTCAGCAACCTCGCCCTCTCCGCGACCTCCCTTTTATGCAATGCACCCAGCCTTTCGACGGATATCGACTGTGGTTCCGAAAGCTCCTTTGACCGAGATGTCGACTCAGGCAGCCATATTGTCCCACGACAGTGTCTCAGTGTCCGTAGGAAAGGCAAGAGACAGCTGCTGGTAGGTTTCAACGTCAGAAGAAGTCGCAAGGGCGATGAGGTGGAGGAGGAGGAGGAGGTGCAGACGCGTGTTGATGGGATCGGTTATCGCGACGGTGACTTTTTCAGCACCGAGGCAAATCGAAACTCCTGTTCCATCCTTGACGATCTTGGGAAGTTCGAGGAGGCCAGGACGCCAGTGTCGGATACCAACTCATTAGCGATGATGCGACGCATCCGTCATAACTCCGCCCCGCCTAGATCATCAATCCTGCCAGAGGGCTTGGACAGAACAAATGCCCCTAGGCGTTTCACGGCGCAGCCCTTGCAGCAGCTTCCACTTCTGCATGCTCGCATTGTCCTACAGCAGCGGGCGACCTCAGCGTCTCAACAGAGTATGAATGAGCCGATTTTGAATTCACAGCTGAGGGCGCAGAGTCAACCGAAGATTGAAAAGTAGGTGGGACTGTCGTACTCGTCGTCTGTTTTTATCTGAACCCACACTGCCTTCGCTCACGGTCTTGTCCAATGTGTTTTCTATTCAGCACAACATTCCGTTGCCACGTGCAGTGTGTGTGTGTGGTGCGCCAGATGGGATTATTTCACCCAAGTTTAATTGACATCACTATTATTTTTTCATTCTTAAGTGTACAAAGTCTCTCTAATTGAATTCTACTTCACATGAAATAAAGCCCGTGTAAAGAAAAGTAGACGTCACTCATGCCCAGATTGTGAGTGGTTGAACATTCCAAGAGCAAACTACAGTCTTTCCCCTGATAAGTAGCTACTTAAAACTTAAGCAATTTCCAAACTGATTAAAAAGAGGGCTAAAACGTCATAACAAAAGCAACCGAATTGGTTATTCGATATAACAGTAGTCGAGTACTTTCGTACACAAACTTGAAGAATGACAGATTCTTCTTTCCAATTAGTCGCTATCACGTTTTTAAAGAAAAATTATGCTAAAAGTACACCTGGTTTATGAAATGCCCGGAGGACTTCAACCCTCTCCATATAGCTACTGTTCATTGGCGTTTTCTAACGTTCGCCACCTAGTCGTAACGTACCGGTTTTACTTCACAAGACGGATAGTAAATACTCAAAAAATCGCTCCCTGTAAACATGAAAACTCCGACAAATATTGCTCTATGATCCTTCGAGTTGCTAGGGAATTACGACGGGAATTTAGAAACGAAAAGTAATTAAGTGGAGTAAACTTCATCGTTGACAGTATTAATACGATTGGAATGCAGGAGATGTGTTAACACAAGAAATGTTGGCCGCAATACTGAAATATGTTTTCGACTCGTAATATTTATCATCAAGCAGTATAATTCAAAGATGATTCAGTTGCTTCGGGATGCCAGCGTTTGAATAAATGTCTTTCCGGCCACCTGCGAGGACTACACTCTGTAGCAACACCTATATATAAATTTAAATATATTTCATAGACAAAATACATAGAAATGATAATTTTTTTACTCACTTGGTAGAAAATTACGCCTTCTTCAAATTTTATATTCAACGGAAGAGTATCTTTCACTTCTCAAAGCCCATTCCGATTCATGAATAAATTTGCCTTCAGGGTTTCGAAACCGCAGGCTGCGTATTTCTCTGTACGGAAAATTCTACATTTCTATAGGTATAAAGAGGAACCTATATGGTATTTACGATAGCAAGCAGTATATTTGAGCCATATTTTAAACTTTACCAGCGACGGTAGTAAATGGAGCTACACGACGTCTTACGAACGAGCATTTCACGGTTTTAAAAAATCTCATAATTGAAAGCTTTTTTAAAACCGAAGTATACCCTTCCTTCAAGTATAAATGATAAAAAAGATGTAATTTTCTACTAAATGGCTGAAAGAGTCAAGGATTTTATAAAATTTGTTTTTGAAATATATTTGAACTCGTGGGGACATCGAAAATCACTGATAGAAATTCACACTACATAAGTAGTCATTTTACACAGAGTGTAGTCTTCGCAGGCGGTTGGAAAGAAGTTCATTCAAAAGCCGGACTCCCGAAACAACTGAATTATCGATTAACATTTCATGAGTTAGCACACCTAATGCAAGTCTGCCGGAGAGCGCACGGGGAACACTCGGGGGACAGAGTGATGAGCCAAACCCCTTGCAGCTGTGTAATGCGGCTGTAGAACATCGGCAAAACAAGCATCTGGGCTTTTAGCTAATGGCTGTGCTGTCAGAAGACTGAATTCTGCAGTAGAATTAAGTCTAAAATCTTACGAGAAGAAACAAAACGGAAAAGACATAAGTGGAATCCTTCCAAGTTTATTTTTGATCCCAAAAAGCAGAATTTATTTCTCTTTCGTGGTCATGACTGTTATGCGAATTCACAAATCAAAAGACTTTTGAGAAGTAAAAAGCTTTCCTTTTTTCTGCTGATAACACTCTTGCTTACATTTCGTCTTACCTGTTTTGTAAAGACTGACGAATAAGGCTCCAAGTTGATGATAATTGTTTTAGTAAATTGTTTGCGTTTAAATTTATGGCTCCCAGAGGAGGAATGCTACGAAATGCCTGTACTGAAGAATTAAGGGATTTAAATGAAGGAGAAGAAGAAGAATGATAGTCGAACACTGGAACCTATTGTTTGTTGTTTTAAGCTTTCAAAGTCGTGCAGGAGTCCATTGTCACACATCAAGCAAGCTCATTGCTGCGGAAATAGATTTTGAAATTGCAAAAAGAGCCTCTCTGACTGCGCATTCGTGGCATACAGTAGGTTGGTTAACTCATGAAATGTCTTTTCATTTCGAAAAGACGAATTATGTAGGGTTGCAAAACTAGTCAGCCTGCAATATAATTCTGTAATATTTTAGTTACCTCAGGATGCCGGCTTTCGGACGTACTTCCTTCTGGCTGCATTCAAAAACTTCACTCTGTAAAAATGACTGCTTAAGTACCATAAAGTTTTCTCGTGGATTTTCAGTGCCCCCAAACATCCAATTATCTTTCAAGGAGAACATGTACAAAAGTAGTTAGTCTTCTGCTCTTACGGTAGATACTTACGTTTTCTTCTATTTTTATACTCGCAGGAGGGACATAAAACGGTTTTAAAAAATTTCTGATTGTGTGAATTTTAAATACCTTGAAATGGCCGGACATAAATCGTTATATCTCAGCACTTATCAATATGGCTTGTACGGTTAACAATATGGATAAAATCCACTGCTTAATTTTATGAATCCTATGCAATCTCCCTTTGTTAACGTAGAGAAGTGTGTGGTTTTGCGTAAGCGGAAAATATACGGCTTGTGGTTTGGAAACCTTGAATCCAAGTGTGACGGTGGAGCGGTTTCAAAATTATTCGGGGATAGAAAAGCATTATTAAAACCAAACTATATTCCTCCTTCAAACATAAAATTATCAAAAGACGTAATTATCCACCAAATGAGCAAAAGATGAATATTTTTATGATTTTTTGCATGAAATATAATTGGACTTTTGTGGCATCAAAAATCGTTGAGAAAAAGTTAAGTTGTCATTATTTACAGAGTGTTGTTTTAACATGCAGCCGGAAGGAAATACTTTTGAAAGCCGGCATCCTGAGATAACTGAAATATTATAGAATTGTGTTCCAGGCTGATTAGTTTAACAACCCTCCTTAGTGAGTCTTTTCGAAACGAAAACGCATTTTGGAATTTCGGTTGACATTTTATGAATTAGCCCACCAACTGTACCTTTCGAGCACATAATTCCCGCTTTAACTAAACCACCCCATAACGACAGCCATCAAGCAGGGCGTCGTCAGTCAATCCTTCAGTTATGACGACCCCATTGAGCAAATGTTTAGGACTTGTGTGACGCACCTCGCTGCGTTCTAGGGTCGAGTGCAAAAAAATACAAAAAATGCCCAGGGTCACAACGGCAGCTCATATCAGAGCAAGCTCGCATTGGGAATCATAAACTTGGCAATATTGATCAAAGTTCCATAATAGTGACCTTCACTAATCTGCAAATCGGAAATAGAAATTGCGGCTTTTTAATTTTTGCAGAAATTAATCGTTACCTTGAGACTGATTAGTAAATCAGGCATGGTGTGTCACATAACCAATGTGTATACTGCTGGCTGCCTGTTATCAGTCTGTGAATACTACGTGGTTATACCACATTGGCTAACGGACTTCGGCCCAAATATTAATACCATCGCAGGAAACAAAAGAGGCCGAGAATTGATCGAAGCCTGGGCCTTGGATGTGAACTCGGTCAATCGATTTATCGATCTAGCGTCGGTGTAGTCACCTCCAGTCCTGCGCCGTCGATCGATGATCGGCCTACATGCCTTATAACTGTCGCTTGTTCTGCTGCTGCTACTACCTCTGACGATGAACTCCTGCACGAGTTTGAAAGCTCAGGACAATAAACAATGTGTTCAAGTGCTCGACTCTTCTTCTTCACTCATTAATACCAACTTTCCGTCTGAGTCTAGAAAGTTTGACTAAGACTGATTTACTCCAAGTCTGCGATTGATTTCTGAGAAAATTGAAAAGCCGCACTTTCAAAACTAGCGTATCTATCAAAAAGCACATGGAAAATGCTGAAAGGTTCAGTGATGAGTCGAATCCTTCGCAACTGTCAGCTAGTAGCTGCGCAATCAGTAAAATGAATCATGAAACAAAAGTAAGCCTTTACTCGTACATAATGAAAGAAAACAGAAAAGGGAATGTGCGGGGTTGTTCCTAGTTTACTTGTGATGTTAGAACGCAGGTTTAATTTTTACTTCGTAAAGCTGAGTAAACTGTTGATGACGGCTCAGGTAAATTAACAACTGAAGTGAATAATTCTTATTTTTTATCAAGCATATAAACCTTCGAGCATTGTAGGAACACCTTTTTATCAATGCGGAAAAGCAGCAAGAACATCAAATTATTGCACTACATGGAATGTCCGAAAGGAAATATGCACCTGGGATGACGATAATCCGAACGAAAGGTAACAATGATTACAGATCTCGAAGGTGACTCACTGGTTTTTCCTTTTAAACCAGGCACACTGGCCTGCAATGTAACCATTCGCATGCAAATAATTTAGCGTGAATGTACGCCGTCACCGAATTGAAGGCATCAGAATATACAAAAAGTTATTGTTCTGCATTATTAATGCACACCTTTCCGTTGACAGATTAAACATTTCACGCTGCTAAACTACGCTATACGCGATTCGCTCTGATACTAAGCAAAATGCACAACGTCCACTTTACCTCGAAATGCTATCTCAACACCAGTTATCTTATTTAATCAGTTTAACTGTCAGTCCGTGCGTAGACACGACGTTTGATACAAAGGTACTATGCACATGGAATGACGATCATCCAAACGAAAGGTAACAATGATTACAGATCTCGAAGGTGACTCACTAGTATTCCCTTTTTAAACAGGCACACTGGCCAGAAAGGTAACCAGTCGCATGCAAATAATTTAGCGTGACTGTAAGCT